TCACTCTGACGATGAAGAAGACAGCTATGGCTGCCTGGCTGCTACCGCAGCAGCAGTACCCACATGTACTCTGTGAAGACCTCCCAGATAGTCCTTCCAACGCAGATATCCCCCAGGGGATAGATGCGCTGAGTACAGCCCCAGCTATGGCTGTCTCAGATGGCGGGCTATGGTGTCTCCGGTGCCACTGCAGACATTCAGCTCTGCTCAACTTGGTTGGCCACCAACGCTGCATGCGAAAAATGAAAGCCAAAAGTCCCCCTATCAGTTTCCCTCCTAGACTTATGGATTCCTACACTAGCCTAGACCGAAACTGGACTGACTGGACCTACCGGTACCGTCGCTGTTTCTCGGCCTCTCGGCCTCTACCGGACCCGGCTATAGGCTATAGGACCGTATACCAGTATAGGCCGCTTAGGGCCTGTCTGTCCTAGGGTAGCCCGGGCCTGCTATAGGCAGTTAGGGTAGTAGCAGGGATTCGGTTAGTTTAGGGCCTGTAGTCCCTCAGAATTACAGGTCTGCCCCTCGGGAATTTCCCCACAGGCAAGTCACTCGGTTAGCCCTCAGCCAAACAAAATTGCGAATCTAACCCTACGGTTAGTGTACAACCTCGCAGACAAACTCGGCAGCAGAAATCAGCAAGTCATTGSAGGCTTACCCTCCCCGGGAGCGAGGACCTCCGAGCTAGGGGTGCAGACGAGGTGAGCGGCGTAGATTACCCTTTTGAGCCGCCTCATACCGCAGAACTACAGACTTTGCTGTCTTGAACAAGTCTCTTCTGTAGAACCATCGGTTCTCAGAAGGAGGCTGGAATGCAAACCTGACAAGATACTGTCGGTCGGGGCCAATGCCCCACTCGTCCTCAATGGCCACCACATCATATCCCTTACCAGGGATTGGTGGGCCCCATTGAGGGGGCCAGTCCGGGAATGCATCAGCTGGTATGAAAGGCAGCAGCTTAGATGCATGGAAGACCGGATAGGTTCGTAGATGCAGGGGCACGTCAATGACGTACGATGGGCCAAAAGGATCAGCGCCCACTGTATTTAGAACCTGCCACGAACCCAGGTAGCATGGCAGCAGCTTGGGAGAGATATCCTCCTCCCTCGACGACTCAGAACTGGCCACCCAGACATAGTCACCAGTGCGGATAGGGGAAGGCCGCCTGTGGCGGTTTGCTTGTTCAATCATGGCCTTTTGGGCCTTGAACAAGTTCGTCCGGGCTCTCTCCACATCCAGAGGATAGCGTCTGGCGAACTCTGCAGTGCCTGGGGTAAGGTCAGGCTTAGCCTTATCGATGATATCATCGAGAGGCTGTCGTGGTTCACGTCCCCAATGTAACCGGTAGGGACTGAACCCTGTCGAGGAGTGGACAGACATGTTATACATGAGTTGTGACCTCACCAAGTGGAGATCCCAGTCCTGCTGATCAGGAGAGTGACGACCAGAAGTCATGTCCAGGCGTGAGTGCAGATAGTCCTTGCAATAGGACTGCCACTCATCGCTGCAAAATCTGGGGTCTCGATCACTCACAATAGAGGTGGGCGGTGCGTATTTGGAGAACCTGTCCACGCAGACCATGACCTGACGCATGCCACGAGGGGTAGTCTTGACTAAGTCTGTGAAATCAATAGACACAGACTGGGCAGGACCATCAGGTATGGGCAAAGGTTTGAGCAATCCCGAAGGAGGTTTACACTGAACCTTGTTCCTTTGGCAGAGTTCACAGGTGTCCACATAGCGCAGCATATCACTCCGCATCTCCTTCCAGAAAAAGCGTTGCGAGAGGGCTGCATATGACTTTAGGAACCCAAAGTGTCCACGCGCATCGTGGCACTCTGACATCAGCAGTGTCCTCAGTTGTTGGTCCTCAGGGATGCAGAAGCGCTCCTCTCCTCTGCTGTAAGTGTACAGCAGATCTGAACTCAGTGCATAGCCAGGTTCAGAATTAGGATCTGCTTGCAGATTCCCGACGGTGGGTCCATAAGTCGGATCCTGAGGCAGCAAACGAGCGATGGTATGACGGACCTCCTCTCCAAAGGAGTGAGTAGAGGAGATCAACGCAAAAGAGTCAGGCCTACGAGAGAGGGTGTCTGCTACCTTGTTGTAGCAGCCCTTCTTATGCTTTTGTTCAAAGTCAAACAGATCAATGAACTGGATGTAGCGTGCCAGTTTATCATTCAACTCTCCCTGGGACTTCAACCACTGCAGGGTGGAATGATCAGAAAAGATCTTAAAGTGTCTGCCCAAGAGAAAGTGCTTCTAATGTTTCAGGGCACTGACCAGAGCATAAAGCTCTTTCTCGTAGGTAGAGTCCTGAAGCTTCTGAGTTTTGATCTTCTTACTCGTAAACTCTACAGGTCTCAGACCATTACCATTATCCTACTGAAGGACTGCCCCAATGCCATACTAACTGGCGTCAGTGGTGAGAACAAATGGCTCAGGCAACTTCAGAACAGGTGCACGAGTCAAGGCCTGTTTGAGTCGTGCAAAGGCCATCTGACAGTGGAGGGACCAAAGAAAGGGAGTGTCTTTCTTCGTGAGGTTAGTCAGGGGTGCAGCCACAGCAGAAAAGTTCCTGACGAACTTTCTGTAGTAGGAGGCCAGACCCAAGAATGACTGGACATTTCTCACTGTCTGAGGCTGTGGCCAATCCTGAATAGCAGCAACCTTGGCTGCTTCAGGGGCCAAACCATCTCCATAGATTACATGACCCAGGTAGATAACAGAGGGAACTCCAAAAGAGGATTTCTCCCTATTGATCTTGTGCTAGTTGTCATGTAACGACTGAAGGACTAGAGCCAGGTGCTCCGCATGTTCCCTGGTAGTTTTGCTGAATACCAGGATATCATCAGGCAGAGCCAGGTGCTCCGCATGTTCCCTGGTAGTTTTGCTGAATACCAGGATATCATCCAGGCAGACAACCATAAACTTATCCAGGTACGGCCTGAATATGGGGTGCATCTCAGTCTGGAATGTACCAGGTGCACTGCAGAGTTCAAATGGCATCACCAGGTACTCATGAGTAACATACCTGGTTTTGAAGGCCGTTTTATGGACGTCCTCCTCTGCCATCTCAATCTGGTGGTAGCCAGATTTGAGATCGACTTTGCTGAAGATGGTGCAACCCTGGACCATATCCAGAAGGCCGTCGATCCTAGGAAGTGACTCTGTGCTCTTCCTAGTGATCTTGTTGAGACCCCTGTAGTCGATGCACATTCTGAATTCCCCACTCCCCTTTGGGACAAAGAGGACTAGAGCACCGAATTCAGAAGTGTGGGGCCTGATCCAGCCTTTGCTGGTCAGGGTCTCAAGCTGTCGCCTGAGCTCCTCAAGCTCAGCAGGTGACATCCTGTAGATGCGGCCCTTGGGAGGGACCGCTCCAGGCAGCAGCTCAATACGATGCTTGGTTGGCCGGTTGGGTAACCCAAAGGGCTCCTGCATCAGATCAGCATATTGGTCCACAACCTGCTGTATCTCAGGAGGACAGGGAGTAGAGGGAGCGTCTGTCTGCTTGACCAGAGCGATGAATAGACGCTCATGATCATACTGGCGAGAGAGAGTATAGAACTCTCTCGCTCTCAGGCAGAAACAAGATGTCTGAGGGTGGTAATCAGCTGCAGGCATACAAGGCTGATATACCTCTTTGCTGTTTGGCAGTTCAACCTTGGGGATCTGCCAGTCGATCCTTGGGTTGACTGCTCTCAGCCACTGCATAGAGAACACAAGGTCAAAGGGGAGGTCAGGGAAAATGTAGAAGTTCAGACTATGTCTGACTTCTCCAGCACTATCGAAGGTAACAGGGATGCCCCTGACCTTCTCCCTGATGGTCAGAACAGTGGAGTCCCCGATGCGGACCTGTAGCGGTTACTGCAGCTGCACCACTTTCATGACCAGATGCAGTTTTTGGACTGCACTGGGAGACATGAAGTTGCGAGTGGCACCACAGTTTAGTAGCCCTTCGATCCTGCGATGGTTGATCGGGGGCCGAAGCAGGATGAGATCAGACTTGTTCTGCTTTTGTTCTTTCAAATGAAAGAAAAAAGCAGCAAAAGCCTGACTCTCAGACTGGTCCGGTTCCTGATCCGGGTCAGGATCCTCATAGGTAAAGGATGCTGCCCGCGCAGCTCCCACACTGGATGGGAAGCAAGAAGTCTCAACTGAAGCTGCTGCAGCTGCAGCACTGGAGGGAACTGCTGTCTCCAGGTTCAGCTTCAATTTTTTGACTGAGCTGGGCTTGGCATGTAGGGACAGTCCTTCAGGACGTGCTGTCCCTCACACCTCAAGCAGACACCTCTCTCCTTCCTCTTCCTCCACACTCCCTCCTGGATCTTCAGATCATGCCATGGGAGAGTGTTGGGGTTCAGAGAGTCTGCTGGGAAGTGGACGTCACATGCCAAATTAGGGCGCCGGGCAGGGGTTGAAGAGCGACGTCCTTGGCTCTTCCCCTTGCTGCTGGAGGCTGTGCTGGAGGCAGATCCGGCCTTTTGGAAGGCTCCCAGCGCAGCTTGCAGCTGCTGGACCACTGCTGCAACATCTAGAACAACAGCTGAAACAGTCCGAGCTGGTGGTGTACCAGGCTGGGAACCTGTGTCAGAGGCTGACCCAGACCCCGCATATGCAAAGGCCGCCTTTCCCTTTCTACCACCGCGAGGGAAGGCGCCTCTCCTCTTGTCACTAGAGGGGGCCTGGACATGAAGCTTGGCTTCCATGGCCAGTGCTGCACGTCCAAATGATCTCCAGTCTTTGTGACCGGCGCTGTACAACGCAACACATAACTTTTCAGGCACAACCCTGCAAAAGTTAGTCAACAGATCATCTGCAGACATCACCAAACCAGGGGTGGAAGTCAGCTGTTCAAATTCAGCAAACAGGGCCTGCAGACTGCCGCTGTAACGCTGCTGGCCCAGGCGTACTATCTTATCAGCAACTTTGCGGACTCTTTCTTTATCTGCAAACCGATCTTCCAGGGTCTGCAAAAGTTTGTCAGCCCCCAGTGCCAGGGCCCAGTCCTCCAAAGTCTGATTTTGGGCACTTGCTGTAAAGGTAGCCCATTTCTGGGCAGGCCCCTCCAGCAGACCCACGCCAGTGGCCACCTTTTGCTGCTCCGGGCACTGGAACCCCTTCAGATAGGCCCGGGTTCCAGCAGTCCAGTCCCCCACATCAATCTTGGGGTCATCCCCCTTGAATTTGTTGGGGGCAGGAATCTTGGGACCTCTGTTGTCCCCAGCAACAACAGCAGCAAAGGTGGGAGGAGGTGTGGCTTTGGCCTGGGAGGAGACAGTGGGAGAAGCCTTGCGCGAAGAGTGAGGAGATCCAGAGGATGAAAGAGGTGGAGAAGGGGGCTGAGAAGGATGTTTAGGTTTTAGAGTGGGGACCACAGGGACCAGGGGACTGATGACCTTTGCTGCTGTTAACTGAGCAGTCAGATTCTGGATAGCATCCAAGATCTTTGACTGTTGAGTTCCCAGATCCGCCACTCTGGTCTCCAGCCTCTGGATCCTCTCATCCCAATTTGTAAAGTGGTCGGCGGTCAGCTTGTCCTGCAGGAGGACCAGGTCAGCCAGGTCCCTTGTACACTGGGTCACTCTAGTATCTGCAACAGTCTTTTGGGCCTGCTGCATCAGATGTTCTTTTCTGGAAGCATCTGTTGCAGCTTCTAGTTCAGCAGCCTCCTGTCTCTCGGCTTCTGCGAGCAGCGCCTGTTGCTCTCGCAACTTTTCTTGGATCTCTCTCTTAGGCCGTTGCGCAGGGGTCAGAGGAGGGGGAGGTGGTGTTGTGGTTGAGGGTTCCCCTTCAGCCTTAATCACGTCCTCAACCTTCCCTACACCTGTGTCAGCTGCGTCAGACATTTTCCCTCACAGACAACAATAAAACAAAATGAAATAGCAGGGGGTGCAGCGATTTACAGATCACATAGACACTCAAATTTCGCTGCACTGTCAGTTCGCAGAGCAATGTGGGTTAGTGGGCACAAGCAGTTAGGGTTGGAACAGGACCATTGGGGTCAGTAATCAGGTTGACAGGGTGTCCAGTAAAACCATTCACTAACGATTTCCTATACCTGACACTGAACTTTTACTGAAGTTGCAACATGCAGTTTCACAACATTCCAGGGGTCACTAGTATTCCAGAGCCCATCAGAAAGCAGCGTAGATTAGTAGTATTGATGAGGGTAGGCAAGAATTGACTGAAACATAGCAACAGGTAGTAGCGATTTAGTAGCCTACTCCCTGGCAGCCCCAAACTCAAATTTCGCCAGTGTTGACATCAACAGAAATTACCCCAGATATGGCGAATTTCAGGAATGCACTGTAATGACCCAAATACAGTGTTTCTGGACTAGCGCTCTAACAGGGTTGCTAAAAATAGAATTGCGACTCACCCCAGACTGACAGACTTGAATTCTGATGGTCGGATTTTGAGTTGTGACTGACCCTAGGTAGCCTAGACTATAAATAGGCTCAGCGCAAAACTCAAATCCACAGTATCACTGTCTCTTCAGCACAGAATTCACAGAATGAGCATACAGGATGCAGCGCAATACTGTAAAGCAGTCCCAGAACAATTTGGAGTCACAACATGTCAGTAGATGATGAGATATGAGTCAGGGTAGGGAGGAAGAAGATGGATATGGCTGTCCTGCAGTCTGACAATTTCTCGATTGTTGCAGTACTGACAGACAGACCATCCATCCTATCTTTACTAATTCCTATACTAATCGCTGCTCAGGGATTCGTGTGGAACGAACTCACTTGAAGTACAATCCTCAGTGGGTGATGAAGCTTTGGCTATGGCTGCCAAACCCTGGTCTCGCCAGTACTTGCAGACAGTCTTCCAGAGCTTCCCACGTACAAAATCTCCTGAAACCTGTTGATCTGCTCCAGTATGATGAGGCGATTCACCCCCAACTCTCTGATACACTGAATCTGCCCCAGTGGCGAGAGAAAACTCTCCTGAAGATATCTCGCCACTGCAGGGTATGAGCCGCTGGTGCTAAATTTAGCCCTCGGTAGGGTTAATTTAGCAGGAGGGGATCCTGCGATCAATCCTCCCTCGGTGCTTTGCCGGGATTGAAGCCGCCACTCAGTAATCACTGGATTAGGGTAAATTTTTCCACTCTGGACCCAGTCATCAACTTCGGTCAGGAGGGTGGATGGCGAAATAACCCTATTCTCGCCACTTCTTGTCAGGCACACAAACAGGCTCAGGGTGCCTGATCAATCGCAACTGATGTTCCTGCAATCACCGCTTGTATCCCTTCTTCCCTGCTGGATAGTCACGGGAGATGGAGAACCACCATGGATCTTCTCACCAGTTAGAGCCAGATGAAGAAGGTGCCCCTGTTGCGCTCAACCCTCTGAGCTCCAAGTCCAATCTCCGCTCCGATACCAACTGTTATGAACTTGGTTGTGCCACTCTCACTCAGAAGCACTCACACACGCCCATACATGCATGAGACAAAGGGGAGAAGGAGACAGGGTCCAACTGCACACAGATCAGAGATAAACAGCGAAATAGCAATTATGCACAGAAGGGGAGAATGCACTCAGTGTTTCTCTCTCCCTGACACACTCCCAACAACCAATCACAATTGACACTGCGAAGATCACAATTGGAAAGTAACCCAGACGAAGAGCCAACTCAACACAGTTAACCTCAATGATCGTTACAGAGTTCCACCCAGTGTCTCGCCACTCAGGAACCACACACTCCACTCACTACCACACTCTCAGAGTCTAGCGCTGCACAGAAATAGC